AAAGGTCGCCCACTGTGTCTCCTTTCTCTCCTTCAGATAAGTCTTCTGACATATCCTCAGTTGCCTCTCTCCTGCCTCGTTCACGTTCAAGACGCCATTTCGCCATGCGCTGAGCTTCTTCTCCCTCAAGCTGAACAAGTAGCAGAACAACACCAGCAACAATTTAAAGCCAAAAACTAAAACCATCCCCTCTCGGAAAACCAAAAAAAAAAATTTCCACCTAGTAATTGCCTAGAGAAATTGTTTTAACAAGCACAAATATTCCATAAAAAGAAATGGAATTAGTATTAAGACAAAATCCCAACTGTGAGTGAGAATGATTCGATGTAACTAGCAATCCATATTTGATACTTCAAACCAAAGTTTCTGGAAATTTGAAAATTCTCTATCATTTTTAATGAAAAGTTTTCAATTTTTTTTTTTTTATTTGCTCTAAAAATCAGAAAAATAAGGCAATGATAAGCAGCCTAATATATTGATCATGAAAAAACATTAGAAGACAAATTAAACGAAAACAGGGAATTATATATTATGCATATAAAAAGACCTGCTTCTTTTTGCGAGCCAAATTCCAAATCCGCCAGCACATGTTCTCCAACCTCGTGTTCCTCTCCTCCGGGCTCCTGGCCGTAGCGGCAGCCTGAAAACAAAATTAAAAAAAAGAAAAAAAAAGAAAAAGAAAATCGATCCGATTCAAAACAGAAATGGCGTGTGAGAGAAATCGAACGTACTCGAACCCAGGAGCGGTGGAGATCGGTCTCATCGTAGCGAGTGATGACCTCTTCGACGAAGTAGCGAGTGGGACTGAAACGACCGCGTTCTCGGAGAAGCAGCGACGATTTGGCGTCGTCGAGGCCCGGACCTACGTCGAGGATCGCCTCCAAGTAACTGTTCACCCAGTCGTTTCCCGCCATTGTATACAGAGCCTGAAACAGAGCACTCTGCTCACAGTTTTATATATAGCTTTACAGCTTTCAGAGAGAGAGAGAGAGAGAGAGAGAGAGAGACGGTTATGGTGATGTGTTGGAGATTGGTGACAATGACGGAGTAGAGAGAGAGATTGAGTGAGGGAGACGTTTTCGGAGAATTTTTCCGTGACTTTGCGATTTCTCTGGAAAATTAAAAAGTTCTGTAACTTACTTTTATTTAATTTTTTTTCCTTGTTGGAAAGTGTTAAGCTTTAGATACACTCATCATTCTACTAGAAACCACGCTTGTCACTTATTACGTGGGTAGTAACATATTGGAGAGGATTTTGCTGTGTGACGGGAAATGAGCATTGCTTACACGAGTTCATCTAAATTAGAGGTTTTTTTTTTTAATTCACGCGCTCTAAGCGTGATTTACAAAATTTAATATTATTTTTTAAATTGAATTTTTTTAGATGTATGTCATTTATCGCTGGACTTACAAAGTTTTTTATTTTATTTTTGTAATTGTATTTTATTAGATGTCCGTCTCAATAATTTATATGCGTGATTAAAAAAAATAAATGATTGAGACGGATGAAGTATGAAGTCATTGATTGTCTTACAGTAGACGGAATGCCAATTAAACAAAATTTCCAAATCATGCCATTGGAAACCTGTAAGAATCAAGATCTTTTTTCTGTAACCAATTAAAAAAAAGTTAAAAATAAATTTTATACCAAAACAAATGTAATATCATATTTTTCAATTAGTTGAAGCATCTCACCTGTGCCGTGAAGACGGCATATTATGAACCCTGAATAAATTGTTGTGCATAAAAATTGAAAGTTAAAAGGTGAAGTCAATAGAAAAAGCGAGAAAGTAAAGTAATCACAGAATCAGCATATCACATCCCACTTATATTGTTGCAAGAAAAAACAATTGAAAGAAACAAAAATAAATAAAAGAAAGAAAGAAGGCAATCTGCAGAACTTAGAAGCATGGAACCTTTCTCTGCTTCAGAAAGTTTCTTTTGTACGTGCATGGTCTGGGAGGATTGGAATGAGAGTCTTTGTAAACCGCAGGAAAACTGCTTACTGAGTTTGTTGCAACTTGTCAGATGCTCAACGTGCTTACCTTACTAATTTGAGGCATGAATTATCTTTGGAGCTTCATAATTTTGAGTCAGCTCCGGATTCTATTTCGAACATCTTGGTGGACAATGTGCTAGGAAGGGCCCTTGAGAGGACTGTGATCTGTTAGTTTTTTCTTCTTGTTTCGTCTTGACTTCGGCCCAAAAAAAAAAAAAAAAATGGAATGTTAGACCGATAAAGCCGTATAATAATGAGAATAATTGTTGAAGAAAATACCGTACGAGTATTATATAAAACAGCCTTGATTGAATAATTTCTTAAACTCATTTCAACATCAAGGACGGTGCATAATTATGTAAACAAAGAAATGAATTTCATGGCTTCTCTCAATCTTGAAGAGATTTTATCCTTATTTCCTATTACAAATATAGTTTATTTCAAGACCGAACGGTAAAGATTTGATGGGTCTACTCTTCTAACTTTCTAACTAATGTAATGGCCATATTACTTGACTTATGTGCATTATTGATGAATTGGAAAGCTTGAGCACAAAGTAATTATCAGATTGTAGGTAGAAATTAATTATTACCCACTTAAAACTGATTAATTGTGTTAACATATTACGCGTAGTTTTGACCCAAAAAATATGCATAGTAATAGTTTTGTTTTGTTTTTTCTTTAAATTTATACTTGCGATGTTTTACTTTAATAGGGAGAGGCATTCGAACTCGAGTGTAGAGTGGGAAGTACAACTGCTCTAACCAACTTAGCTAAGCCCATCTATCTATCTATCTATCTATATATATAAAGCAAAAGGCAGAGAATGGTGAAACATTCAAAATACCAGAAAATGCCTTTGGTTAATTCAAACATTAAGAATTGAAATTATTAATTAAATGATGATAATATGGTAAATTCACACTTTTTCATATTAAAAAATTAAAATTAAAAGAAAAATAGATAATGAATCATATTTTTATGGAACACAACTACTCATTATCTTTTTTCAATTCTAAATTTTTTTTTTAAAAGCGCAAGCGCGGAAGCATGTGTGAAGAGACTAGTATGAAGAATAAACAAGAAAATAAGATGCTTTGATAAAAAATAAAAAATAAAGATGAATTTCTGGAAAAGAGGACACATAATTAGAAATCTAGAACATCCGAGATATGGAGATGATGAAAAGGGAATAATAAGATTTGTCAAAAAGCCATTCCCACAATCAGTCATGTCGTCAATTATATTAGCAGCAGGTATAACGTATGCATGGAATAAACGTACGTGCATGCATGCATATTATGCCAAGTGTGCTCTTGGCTTTGACACGTTTAAGAAGAATAAGGAAAAAGAGATACATATTCTAAATCCCAAACAAAGATTTATATACCAAACTTATTATATTTGCTTTTTTTGGAGTAGATGTTTTTATATTTTTCATTTTTTATCTATAACATTGCATTAATTGAATTGAAGAGTTTGATACTGGGTTACAAAATATGAAGATAGCAAACAAAGCTTTTCAAATTACCACGTCAATTTAAAGAATTTGATTTGCTATTATTGTTGGAGATGCTCTTGAACCTAAAAGAAAAAAAGAGTCTAAAATTAAAAACAAATAAAAATAAAAAGCAAAAAATTTACATTCCTTTGGCTTTTGTGGGCCAATAGTCCATGAATTTAATGATAGAGTCATTCTATAGTAAGGGCCTTATATATGACCCTTACGTGAGATCCTATCACTTAATTGTTGAATTAGACTAACTAATTTGATCTAACAATTAAGAAATAAGATCTCACCTAAAGGCCATATATAAGGCTAGAATTCTTGTTTAAGGATAATTACTCTTGATTAATAGCCCAAATTATGGTGATGTGGGCCAAATCCACATTGCTGTCCAATTGGCGCCTAAAGCCTGTAAATGGCGGCAGCACGTGGCAAACCGACAGTTAATACAGTTGGGTCACCTGAGAGATTGTGGTTAAAATAGTTAAAATAGGAAATCAATCGAATCAGATACCGCAAAGCGTATTATCTCTACAAATTCTTGTTCTCATTAATGGCCCTACTGTTTATCATTTTATATTTTCTGTTCTGTTTTACACAAATATTTATCTTAAAATGACCAAAGTACCCCTAATCCCAAGGACAAAATTTAAATTTCACAAAAGAATTAAATAGGATTAAATTGGGTCAAGGATGTTACACTTTTTGAATAATCACCATGATTATGACAATGGGTCTTTGTCATCATAGATCATATTCATATATTAAATATTTTGGTTGAGTTAGTTGGATGCATTATTTTTGCAAAATTGAATATCTGAGCATAATTGCTGACTAATTCTTTGTGGTTGGATATTTATTTTTCAGTTTGTGGTTATGAAAGTAGCTTGGATATTGAATATTGAATATTGGTGTTGACATCAGACAAGCCTTTAACACAAGCGGGTTTTGAAGTCGTGCCCTGAATAGAAGTTGAGGCCCTGAAAACCAACACAACTAGGAACGTCTTTATGTCAACAATTTGCTCACTTGGTATATATATATAACATTTGTTAAACATATATTATACACATAAAAAAAAATCGGGACCCCTTAAAAATTAGGGGCCTGGTGCGGTGGCACCATTTGCACACCCTCGGAGCCACCCATGTGGCAAGAAGAGTTTTCCCTTTTCATTTATTTTTTATTTTATTTTATTTTTGCCTAAAAGATAAAAAGGTGAGAAAAATTACATGTAAACAAATAAAAATAAAAAACCAATCACTTCCTTCTTTTCAGATCAAACTAATCACTCAATTAATGCTCCTATCAATTCATTCACACCAAGCTAATCCCTCCCTGCCCCTACAGTTTCCCCACCATAAACCAACTTCCAATCCAATCATGTTGGACCAAATGTCTCTGTTCTCAGAAGCTCCTCTGTGTGGCCAAATATAATTTCTGAAGCACAAGTAAAATTCTTGGCATTGGAAATCCTTGTGGAATTTGAACAAAATGGGGTTCTTCTTTGGAATGATTATTGGCATTGCCATCGGCATCGGGTTGATCGTGGCTTTTGCTCGGGCAGAGAGAATCCGATCCAAATGCCGTTCAGATTTGGTACATTACAATTCAAATCAAATCTTGTTGCACCATGTTTGTGTGCTTTTCTTTCAATTTTTATTTTTTTGGTTTCTTGGTTGATGTATTGTGTGTGATTTTAGGCCAAGACAGTGGCAGCGTTTGCAAGGATGACAGTGCAAGATTCAAGAAAACTTCTCCCAAGCCAGTATTATCCATCTTGGGTCGTCTTCACGCAGCGCCAGAAGTTGAGTTTTATTTCACAAACCCCCCAACTTCTCTGTTTTCTCTTCTTCATGTTTTGCCCTTTGTGGGTTTGCTTTATGTCACATGCACCAAATGTCTCACATTCAGAAAGTTCAATTTGTTACTCTAAGGTAAAAATATAAGCTGGGTTTGTAGAGGTAAGTTTCGCGCATATTGGTAACACCATGCAATTGTGTCAGATTCAATATTAGGGAATGCGCAAAATATTGCAATGTCATGCACAGAAAATACTGGATGTCTCCTAACTAGAGTTCTGATATCATATTAAACAGTTACTAGTACCCAAAAGCTTAATAGTGTCAAATGTCCCACATCGAAAAAAATTTGATATCATGAAATAGTATATGAGCTCTTCCACACCCTTTTCTATGTATATGTATATGTGTATATATCTAACAAGCATAGCTTTATGAATTACAGTTGAATTGGCTTAACCATCATCTTCAAAAGATTTGGCCTTACGTTAATGAAGTAATGCTTGTTCTCTCTCTTTTTTTTCTTCTCTCTTTTAGTTTCACCTCTTCAATAGTCAATCTTCTGGTTTTTTGTTCTTTCTTTTGGGTGCATTGTGATGGATTAGGCAGCATCAGAACTGATAAAGAGCAATGTGGAACCGATACTCGAACAGTATAGGCCCGTCATCTTGTCGTCACTCAAATTCTCCACCTTGACCCTTGGCACTGTCGCTCCACAGTTCACAGGTTGGCTTCATTCTTCATTGCTTACAAACTAGCACAAGCTTGATCCTATTCGTTGACTGGATTTCGGCATTGATACTTATACATGTAGTTGATGCCCTTTAGGAGTTACCATGGTTGAAAGTGAAAGTGTAGCTGGGGGAGTCACTCTGGAGTTGGAGCTTCAGTGGGATGGAAATCCCAATATTGTGCTTGATATCAAAACCAGAGTTGGTCTTGCACTACCTGTTCAGGTAAAATGCTCATCAACTGATTGCTTATCCTCTTGTAATTTTGTTTAGTGAAATAGAGGCTTTAAGATCTTCTTTTTCTAACCGTTCGTCTAGGTGAAAAATATTGGATTCACTGGGGTTTTCAGGTTAATCTTCAAACCGCTAGTCGACGAGTTCCCTTGTTTTGGAGCTGTTTCTTATTCCTTAAGAGAAAAGGTTCGTGATAAGTTGCTGCTATCTTATTGGTTTGTAACATTTTCTGAGGCTTAATTTTACATTTATAGATTTATAAATTTGTTCAAAACTACATTTACATGTAACATACTTGATTTTGATGTCATATTTCTTGTATGCCTGCAGAAAAAGCTGGATTTTGTGTTTAAAATTTCTGGTGGTGACATATCATCAATCCCAGGCGTTTCTGATGCTATTGAGGTTTGAGCAAACTTTGCCTTATTGTAATGAAAGATTGTGGCATATTGCACAAAAACCTGAATTCTGTGCCACACATGTAATTAAATCATATCTGCAGAACTTCATCAGATGATAGAACGCCTTGTTCAACATGACTGTTAATTTGAATTACTCTTCCCACACTGCCCTCTAATGGAATTGTCGTACTATTTCAGGAAACAATACGAGATGCTATCGAAGATTGTATAACTTGGCCAGTACGCAATGTTATACCGATAATACCTGGAGATTATAGGTATACAAAATTATAATGAACTCTAGAAATCACAACAATATGGCCTAATTGATATATCAGTGCAAATTTTCTTACTCTGCTAGAAGTTTCTTTCATCTAAGATTTTGTTATGTGACAGTGACTTGGAGTTGAAACCAATTGGAACATTAGAAGTGAAGCTTGTGGAAGCCAAGGAGTTAACAAACAAGGACCTGGTGGGAAAATCGGACCCTTTTGCTGTGATATTCATACGTCCCCTTCCTGATAGAACCAAAACCAGCAAAGTCATTGTAAGAAAAACTCATGTTTTCTCAAAGTGGATATGATTTAGTCTTCACTTAATTGAATAGAAGTATTTATCATGTGGTACAGGATAACGATTTAAATCCAATCTGGAATGAGCACTTCGAATTCGTAGTCGAAGATTCAACGACTCAACACTTGACAATAAGAATTTTCGACCATGAAGGACTTCAGGCTGCAGAACTCATTGGCTGTGCTCAAATGAAACTGAGCCAGCTTGAGCCTGGCAAAGTGAAGGATGTGTGGTTAAAGCTGGTGAAGGATTTGGAGGTCCAGAGGGATACTAAATACAGGGGCCAGGTGAGAATAGGATTTACAGTTTACTTGCATTGTATGCATACGAAAAGGGTAGAAATTTTTGTACTGGCTACTATCTACATTACATGGTACATTGTCGATACTATATTTGATATTTAGTCAACAATGTAGCAGATACTGTATATTACAATCACTCTCGTACGAGAAAATTGGTGTTCTATTCTATAATGCACATTGTTGTTGGCTTTAGGTGCACTTGGAGCTGTTGTACTGTCCTTTTGGTATAGATGGTAACATTGTAAACCCATTTGACCATGACTTCGCGTTGACCTCTTTGGAAAAGGCTCTTAAACATGAAAGCAATGAGACAGACAGTTCGGAGTTGAGAAAAACCGCTGCTCAGAAGAAGAAGGAGGTCTTTGTGAGAGGAGTATTATCTGTAACAGTTATATCTGCAGAAGACTTGCCAGTTGTGGATTTTATGGGGAAAGCTGACCCTTTTGTTGTCATTATTATGAAGAAATCTGAAGCCAAAGCCAAGACCAGGGTGAGATTTTTGACTTTCCAAATTTTTCTTGCACTTTCTAAGTGTTCGTTGTGCTATGTCTCATTTTCTTCTGCTTTTCTCAGGTTGTAACTAACAACTTGAATCCAGTTTGGAATCAAACTTTTGACTTCATGGTGGAGGATGCATTACATGAAATGTTAATGGTGGAAGTTTGGGACCATGACACTTTTGGAAAGGTAAATGTCTTGTTATTAGTTTAACTGTGTGACCGGAACATGCATGTTACTAACTCACGTGTTATAACGTGAGTGGACGAACAATTTAGGATACAACTATACTAACTAATTTTAATTGTCTTTTCTTTTTCTTGTTCATTTTTCAGGATAGAATAGGGAGAGTGATCATGACACTGACCAGGGTGTTAATGGAAGGGGAATATCAAGACTGTTATGCCCTAGATATTGCTAAATCAGGAAGAATTTATTTGAGTCTAAGGTGGGTTGCACAGCATAAAGTCCGCGATACGTGATGATTTGATCATCCTCTACATTGTTTTTGCTCTTGCTGGAGTTCAACTTCTGATTTCTTTGCATGAAATACTACAGGAAAAACAACAACAACAAAAATTCAATATTTCATTCTTTTGCACATATTATTAGATTTCACCTTTCTGTCAAAACTGAAAGAAAGTGTTACGAGCCACTTGTAGTTCAGATTACTTTACATTTCAAATTTCTTTACCTGTTCATATCTATGATCTTTTATTGCAATCATGTTCTTTGATACAACTATTTGTAGCTTGCTTATCATTTGAAGTTCTTCTATGATGACATGTTCCTTTACTTGGAATATGAAGTGAGGGATCGTAGAACTTAGCAATTGAAAAGTCAAGGAATTGAAATTGAATCAACTACTACCCATATTTGATCCAATTCATGGTTTTGAGCTATGTTGCACAGACACAAACACAGGGCACGAAAACTTGACACGGAGACATGGAAAATTTCAATACTTCAATGTCATAATACAATAATAAAAAAAAACAAAGTACTCATATTCATCATCTATACATAATAATAAATACACCACAAAATAAGATTGAGCATGAGAGGAGGCCTCATTTAAATTAGCATTATTCATCTTTCCCTAAACAAAATAAAGCACTATACACATTTATTCACACATAAAACGATTTTCCACCTCAAAAAATAAAAGTGTGCTTTGCATTCAAAAAAAAAAGAAAAAGAAGAAGAAGAAACAAAATGAATAAATTGCCCATTCAAAAGATGCTATATTTAGTTTGTAAAATAGTATAGCCTTGCGGCTATATTCATTTTTTTTTTCCAAAACAGTATAGCCGATCGGCTATACTATTTGTTGGCACGTTGGAGCCTAGGCGCTAGGCGGGTTCTTTTTTTTCCTTTCCTATAAATAGTATAGCCGCGCGGCTATACTATTTTTGACACGTGGGCTCCTGATCGCTAGGCGCTAGGCGCTAGGCGCTAGGCGCTAGGCGGGTCCTCTTCTTTATTTTTATTTTATATATAAATAATATAGCCGCGCGGCGAGACTCGTATTTTTTATTTTTTATAGTTTTAAAATAGTATAGCCGCCCGGCTATGCTTGTTTTGACACGTGGGCCCCTAGGCTCTAGCTGGGTTCTCTTTTATTTTCTATAGCGCGGAGTAAATTGTATAGCCGCGCGGCTATACTCTAGTTTATTCATTTATTTTAAATAGTATAGCACACAACTATACTATTTTTGACACGTGGACTCCTAATCGCTAGGCACCATGCGGTTCCTCTTTTTATTTTATTATATACATACTCGAATCATTTTTATTTATATATTTATTTGTCGATTTTTGATTTTTTATAATAGTAGTTAGTGCATTATCCAATACTGTTAGGTCATTACCCGAGTATCTATTGTCCCTTTCCGATTTTTAAATTTTCCAGAATTATTACCTGTATAAAGAATTTAAAATTTTAACCTTTAATACATGTATTATACACGTAAATAAGTATTTTTCAATAATACATCTATTTTCTGTACACTTCTTAAACACTCGGTAAAATACACATTAAAAAAAAAGGGCAAACATACAATACTCGTATTGTACACGTACTTACTTATTTTTCATGTTTAATACACGTGTTTAAAAAAAATTGATAATACACACATAATTTTCACAATTTTTTTAATAAAAATATTATATAGTGGGCAAACTTTTCAATTGTAATTTGCCAAAATTTTGTCGAATAAAACACGTATGTATTGTATTTGTATTTTTTCCATTATGTATTTTACTAACTATGAAGGAATGTGAAAGACTAAGATTACTTCTTACTTGTTGTAACAGAAATGCAAGATGGTTATTTTGCAAACTCTTTGCCAACTAGAACAACAATTTTAAACAAAAATTTATGGGCATAGTAGTAAGAGAGGTGATAGTATTCTTCATGTAAAGTGTTGTTTGAAAAGTGAGGCATCTACTAAGAACACTCCAATTCAGCATGCAATTCTTTACGACAAAAAATTTTGTGCAACAAAAGAATTTGGTAACACTTGAGAAAATGGGGTAGAACAAAGGCAAACATTCCCACAAAGAAAGAAGAAGAAAAAATTGAATTCTAAGATTGATTTACTGTGAAATTTCTCTATGTTCAATATATGCTTTAGATATATTGAAACTAGTAAATTAATATCTATAAACTAATGGAAGGTCTTTTAAAACAAAAAATTATTTTAATAAAAAGTATAGCCGCGTAGTTATATATATATATATATCTTTATAATATATTTAAAGAGTATAGCCGTGCGGCTAATAATGAGTTAAAAAAAAAAAAAAAAAAAAAAAAAAAAAAAAAATATCGCCGCGCGGCTATACAATTTTTTGACACGTGCACCTAGGCGCTAGGTTTGAGGATATTGAATCACATATTTTAAGTTAAGAACCACACAATTTTTTATTTTTTATGTGTATTTATGTGATAGTAAAAATTCATTTTATATCATACATAATTAACCATATTAACAAACGAGATTAAAACTTTTCTTTGACAAATGTGATATTCTAAACTATTAGGATATAGCGGAGGGAGTTCGAAACTCTGTTACAAGAGAGCGGGCACACCGCATTATTCAACTGGTGGCGTACCTCAGATTTGCTAAATGAGGTAACGAGTGCCGTATGCGGTTTGAACTGTTAGTCGTCAAGCCCGTGCCTTTAATAGACTGGTAGGTGAGCCACTTTCTCAAACAGCTTCAAATCACTGAACTTCGAACCCAAGCAAGCAAAGCAACCATGGACGAAGCTGAGCAGCAAGTAGAGAACCAACATCTTCTCCCACTGCTAGAAGCTCTGAAGAAAGCTTCTAAAGACCTACAAAGCAACCCCATTTCAATTATATACAACAATTACGATATAAGCACCGCCATTGAAGCTCTTCTAGAGCTCGGAACCAAAGCCGACCCCGTTATTTCCGTAGACCCAAGTCTCTTCAAGCTCAATCAGTTGCTCAGCAACCTCAAAACCCTTTTCGAAAAGCTCGAAAAACTGCAGGGCTATGGCCTCCGGTCCCTCCTCCACCGCCAAATCACCAATTACAAAATTTCCCAAATTGGGTACGCCATGGAAGCAGAGATTCAAGCGTACGTAGATCAGAAAGATGTTCAAAGTTTTGTGAAAACTATGGAAGAGTCTGTCGAAGACGATAAAAAGGTGAAGGCTTTGATGGGTTTAGAGAACAGGTTGGGCCAAGGGTTTGATAAACAGTATCAGCAATTAATTTTGAGAGCAAAGGTATTTTCTTTTCTTGAATTTATGGTTTGTGACTCAAAGTTTTCGAATTGGGTTCGAGACCAAGCTGCTCTTGCTGTTCTTGATCTGGTTAAATTCAATAAGGATGTTTTTGTGGGATTGGTGCTGATGGGTCCGATTATTAGAGCTTTAATTCAAATGGGTTCATCTTGTTCGATTCAAGTCCTCACTGGACTAGTCAAAATCATCAGAACCCCTCTGGTTGATGACATCAATGGAGAAATCCCAAGAATTATCAGCCTCCTGGGCTCTGAAGACTTGTCAACTAAAGTGGCAGCCATGAATTGCATTCTTGAAATTGCGTTTTTGGGCAGAGAGGAAGTGATTGGTTCAATGCTTGAAGAGGATCTGATCAAGAAGCTTATGGGTTTGCAGAGATTGGAGGTGGGTTTGCAGTCCAATGTGGAAGAAAATGGAAGTGTTTTTGTGGAGGAGAGAGAGCCAAAAATGGAGGAAAGTGTGGAGAAATTTCCATTTTCAAGGTGTGTGGCAAGTTTTGCAGTGCAAGTGGAAGTTGGAGAAGGATTGGAGCAGAGTGAGAAAAGAGCTTTTAAATTGGAAATACTGAAGAGAGTGAGAGAGGCCTCTGTTTCTGATGCAGAGGCAGCTACTGTTGTTGCAGAGGTGCTGTGGGGTTCTTCACCTTGAAACTTTGATTTCTTAATATAGCTTAAGGTTTTTTTGTTATTTATTTTTAAAGTTTATTTATAGTTTACATTTTTAATTGAGTGTATAAGTGTAACTTAATGAGGTATTAAGTACTAACCCAAGTTATAGATTAGGGACACCTAATTTTCATGTGTGGTGTGCCCTGTTTCTTAGTTAAGTGATTAACAAATAGGATTGTAGTGTTTGTAATTGTAAGGGTTTGTCATTGTTGGTTATTATGAGATGACAAAAATGTGTTAGCTGGTATGAAGAGCTTAATGAGGCAAATTAGTGATGATGATTATTATTAATTGTGCTTAATCGAATTTTGAGTTAACTCTGCCCAATTAACAGTTCATAAGCAGTATTTTGATCATTTAAAAATTGAATTCATTTCCACAGCAGACTCTTGAATTCAATGCAATGTTATTGAAAAGAATGAAAAATATGAAAAAAAATGTGAAAAATGTCAAAGAAAAAAAGACATGTTTTTAACATTTTGAAGGTGTGTTTTATTTTTCTGGAGTAAAATTAGATGTTTTGAAAAGCAAATGTCAACTTACTAGTTTTGAAGACAGAGAAAGCGATTGTAGCTTTGATGATTGAGTTTGACAAGGATGTTGGAGAGGGTTTTGATGATGCGACGCACCTATTTTAACATTCCAAAGTTGTTGAAAAGGCCATTGAATATGCTCTTAACCCGTACTTTGTGGCTCTCATAAACTTGATACTGCATGCTCAAATCTTGTAGTTTGGACTCAAAACAAAATTTAATTTAGTGAAATAAATCCATGACAAATGTTTATCGAAAAGTGATGAGAGAGGGGTAAGCTGTCGGGTTAGGATTAGTACAAGTTTAAAAAGTTAATCAAATTATTGTTAAGCTATCTTATTCAAAAAAAAATATTGACAAAGAGATGAAAACACTCAATACCAGATTTTGTATTCTGAAATGAAACATAACATGCTGCTTTTAGTAGATGAATTTTCTGCTGGCCAAAAAAGCATGATGAAAGAATGTCCTTATATTCTAATTTATCTACATATAATTATCCTCTTATATATAAATTTAAATTTGTTTACGCACAAGAGGAGCTACGCTTATTAAAATGAGAGTATCTAATCCAAAATCAATTGGTAGTCGAAGAGACTCAAACACCCAATACGAGATTTTATATTACGTAAGTAACATGCCGGTTTTAGTTGATGTATTTTGTTTACTTAAAAAACAATGCATGATAAATTTGTGAACATCACTGTCCTAAAAATAATGACATTATCTACACATTTTTATATTTTTATTCTCCTCCTACCTGCAACTATCATTGGAAATGTCATGTTCTTTGTATAAATGCTTTTTTCTTTTGGCATGCTTATTGTCTTTTCTACCAACAACGATTATTTTATAACGCATACGGTTCTCATCCCACACACTTTATACATAATTATAATTTGATATTTATAAGGAGCATCTTTTCTTTTTCTATTAAAAAAACTTTAATTCTATTCGAAAAATTTGCCTTTTCTTCTAGTTGAAGATATCTTATTGTTTTTAGTTTTAATCATGCCTTGTATTTGGATCAACATACCGTCACAACTCAATGAAATCGAATAAGCGAGTGGGATATGCGATTTATATGGAAATGTCATAAAATTTCAAGGGTCCTATAAATAGATTTGGAATAAATAGATTTGGATTTTATAATTGATCAAGACATGAGAAAAAGAGAAAGAAAGGGATGGAAAATTAATAACATAAAATTCTAAATCAACAAAAAATATATATTTCATTTTTTATTTTTGAATATAAACGATAGTTCAAATTATAAGGAGAGAGACTCACACACACCGAAGTTCGATGAGTTAGACCAGTTGGCTCATTTTATTTATTTATGTGAAGGGAAATATGCTTTTCCATTGTACAATGCATCTCCCATCTTCAAAGGGGACTCTGATGTGGTGGTTGCAGCCGTAAAGCGAGCAGGACATGATTATTCAAACATTGGTACCATTGTTGAAGATGTAAAGCATATTCAACAACAATTTCCTAGCTCTCTTTTTCAATTTACTCTTAGGAAAGCAAATGGTGTTGCACACCGACTTGCTCGTTTTGGTCTGTATAATGTGGACAACTTTATTTGGTTTGAGGTGCCCCTTAATTTTATTTAGGACGCCCTATTATGTGATGTGTTAAGTCGAGGTCAGACACATTATCTCCCCATTGTAATTCTTCACTTTATCATTAAAATTTTCCTCATTCCGTCGAAGTTCTCTCAAAAAAGAAAAGAAAAAAGAAGACATATTTTGTAATAATAAAAATTGAAACTTATAACAGACATGTAATAGAGAGGGTATTGATTAACTAATAACAACCAAAACGATTTCAGTTCTTTCTTTGTTTGTCTCAACACTTTCCCTCTCATTCTCTTTCTTCCCGAAATTTAGGATTTCTTTATTTCCTGCAAGAAAGCCAACCCGATTCCCCTTGTCTCACACCAGCAGCCCCGCCTCAACCGGGCCTCTCTCTCTCTCTCTCTCACACACACACACACACACACACGCACACACCTAAATATACGCCGGATATTGGAATTCGGGACACCCTGTCACCCGCACAAGATCTCATATGCTATAAGGTCGGTGACCAGGGAAAATATCAAAGGCAATTTCAAAGATCTAAGGAGGACCAACCAGATCTTTAAAATTCCTCTATCTGGGTTTATTATGGGTTGGAGATACAGAGCTGGGTTGTTCTTAATTGCTACTGTTGTTGTCATTTGGGTTACCTCTGCAGAAGTCACCCAGGTTAGAGTCCTTTATTTTTTTCTTTCTAAATTTGTCATAACTATTTTTGGAGTTTTAGGTGAAATATGAATGTGATTTGTAATTTTTTTTTTTGCCTGATGGGTTATGGGTTATTAGGCTTCATGAAAAGATTGGAGTTTGATATGGATTTGTACCCAATTGATGAACTTTATTAAGTCAGCTACCTGTGTGCTCTTGCTATTTTGTCTTTGAACTCTTCTAGAAAGGAAGAGAAGCTATTCATATAATGGAAGTTTGGATGTTTGCTTGAATTTATTTAAAGCACTCTGCTTCACCCATTCGAGGAACACTGTAAATATAATATTTTCCAGAACAGAACTAGCATTCAGTTGCATAAGCACAGTCATCTGTCACCTTTGGTGTCTAAGGGACTGAAGGACATACCAAAGAAAACACCAGCTAAGATTTAACCTTTTTCTGTTATTGCCTCATCTTAGTTGGTTGGTATTAAGTTCAATCCGAACACACTACATGTTTAATTGCTTTCGAGTCACCATGCATCATCTCAAACTTAGTAATGAGCGTTTTAAATGATTAGTTGGTAAACCAATGATGACTATTTTGTTGAAGTGAGTTTGGAGTTTATGTAGTGGCCAAATTGAATCCTTTAGTCAACAATTGTGACTATTTAATCATCTTGACCATGGGAGAGCTGATAACTGCTTAAACTCAAGCTACTTCCTGAAAGCTACACGGAATTGAGACCCTTTTAGCAGAAGATTGTGTCTAATTGCTTCAAGCGAAATATTTCTGCATATAAGACTTTGATTGGCAATCAATTGGGATCTGATATAAGGGTTTTTTTCTTCCCTTAATATCATTGTGTGGAGATGCCTGAAAATTTATTCATAAGCTATAGAAAATCTTTGATTCCATATTATGATATGGTGCATTGTATTTACTTATATATTTAATAATACTGTGTGCAGTGCCCACACTCTATATCTTATTGAGGTTCTAGCTGACCAATACTGTCTCTACAGGATATATTTACAGACTATAAGCAGCCATTTGCAGTAACATATCTTGGAGCTTCTCTTATGGTAGTTTACATCCCAATAGCATTCATTAAGGATTGGTTGTGTAATTTACTAAAACGTCGCTCTTCTAAAAGTGGTAAAAATGCAGAAAGCATGAATGAGTTTTCTGCTGGATTTAGTTCTCCTCTAAAACACAATGGAGGGCAGAAAGACTTTGAATTGGAAATTCATGGGTCCTTGACCAGAAAAGACAGTGATGCAGACCTTTCACCTTGTGCAGAAGCAATACCTTTGGTTTCTAAATACAAAGATGATTTAACTGTGCCGAAACATGATAAAGAGGTTACTGCAAGGCAAATTGCTACTTATGGGTTTTACATTGCCCCTCTCTGGTTTTTCACAGAGGTAAGGACCTTCCTAAAGCTACTTTATTGAAGAATACATTTCGATTGAATTTGAAGTGTTTTTGAGTCCCAGGCACGTGTCCCAGAAATTTCCTTGCAGACATGAAATTTTACATGTGTTTGTCTAATGAGATGCATTTCGTGCAAAGGTCTATTCATTTTTTGTGGAATTGATAATATAAAATCAGTGTGAAGTATATCAAGAAAATTCTTATTCTTTTTTTGTGTAGTATTTTTCAAATGCTGCCCTTGCGCGCACAAGTGTTGCAAGTACAACAGTATTATCCTCGACTTCAGGGCTCTTTACTCTTTTCGTTGGTGCATTCTTGGGTGAAGATTCTTTAAATATAGCAAAAGTGGTGGCTGTCTTTGTCAGCATGGCTGGTGTAGCCATGACAACTCTGGGCAAAACTTGGGCTACGGATGAGTCACAACTGAGTGCTGCGTAAGCTTTTACTCCATCTCTGTTGCTGACATCCAAATTATTGTTGACTTCCATTTTATTTGTCTCTTCCTTGATGGAAGATAACATATCTCTTTACATACCAATATCATTTGTTCCCGATATTATGCATCAAATTGCTCTATGTAATGCATGTTTTGGCATTGACAGTTAATATTTTTGTTCAGCAATGGGAAACGCTCTCTTGTTGGAGATCTTTTTGGCCTTCTCTCAGCCATGTCATATGGTCTATTTACTGGTTGGGAAATATATTTTTTCATTTATATCTTGGCATTCTTTTTTCCTAAATTATTTTGACATTAGTATTAACATTTATTTTACTGTTAATGATATAGTTCTCCTTAAAAAGTTTGCTGGCGAGGGAGGAGAAAGGGTGGATGTGCAAAAGTTGTTTGGGTACATTGGACTTTTTACGCTTGTAGCATTGTGGTGGCTTGGTAAGTGTTGCTTGAGTATTAATGCTTTCATCTATCAATTACCAAAGTTCACGAAGAGGGTTTTTTATGCACACAATGGTTTCCATGTCCCCAGTCACCTGGGTTCTTTTGCTCTACTTTACATAGGAATGCAAAAGCATCAATGCTATTCTACATAGCCTGTCTGTAAGAGGAGTTTACTTTTTCTAATTGTAATAAGTGGTACAGTAAGAGGCTATTTTTATGGCATTACTTCAGTTTTTCTCCTTGTGAATATGATATCTAGAAATCAAGCAAGGCACAGTGCTAGCTTGGTGGAAACATGTCTGAGGTTCTTAAAAAGGAAGGCAATCTGTCACCTCTTGACTGAATAATCTCGTTTTTCTCTTCTTTTTATTTTTTATTTCTCCAGTTTGGCCATTGACAGCATTGGGCATTGAACCCAAGTTTACGATTCCTCACTCTGCTAAATTGGAAGAAGTTGTCATTGCCAATGGCTTTGTTGGAAGTGTACTCTCAGACTACTTCTGGTATGTTAAAACAATCCTTTTTTCAATCTGGGATTCCCTCACTTGCATTGTCACATGTTTTAAACTCCCACTTCTCTATTTGGCTAATAATAAAAAACTTCCTACAGGGCGCTATGTGTTGTGTGGACAACTCCACTGGTGGCCACCTTGGGCATGTCGCTCACCATACCCCTCGCTATGGTTGCTGACATGTTCATCCATGGCCGTCATTATTCAGCAGTTTACATACTTGGGTCTGCTCAGGTATGATATTATCATAACTATGCATATGGTATCTGTAGTTAGTAGTTAGTAGTACAGTAGTACCTTTGCAAAACTTTGTTCAAGAAGGCATTTCGTTTTAGCATTTCTAACTCACTTTTGGAGGAAATGATGTCTAGATCTCTATATTATATTACCAAGTTTTTCATTCAATGCTGTCTGATGCACAAGATACGCATTCAAACTTGTGTCATGTTGCATCTATGAACTCTTTACGTTGCGTTTGTTGTATGTTGCAGGTATTTGCAGGATTTGTGATAGCAAATCTTTCAGATTGGTTCTCGAAGAAACTGGGGTTATAGCATTTTATTGAACACTACTACTTGCTTAGTTTGGCAATTCTGATTCTTTTATGGGGCCAATTTTTCTCTTTCCACTCTGATCGGTTGTCAAGTTCTTGAGTTTACCAGTAGGGAAGTTTCTCCTCAATATGGGTGGTTGGTTTGTGTGGGAGGAAAGTGAGGGTGAAAATATAATGTTGTATCATACTCTGTGTAAATCAATTCTGGGGGTGAGGTTTGTCTTTTCACCATCATCAGCTTTGAGTGTGAGCCCTGTACTGTATGTAATAAACCTTTTGGGTTGAAAAAATCTCATTTCAAGCACCTTCTCAATGTTTTTTTTTAATCTCCCAATTCTTTTTACCTAAAAAATTATTTTTATATTATCACACCTCCTCTCATTGTCTTGATAATTAATCTAAATCGTCTATTAGAAATTCAATAGTTCTTCCATATTGTATAGCTCAAAAAATACAAATTAGTCTTTGAATTTTTAGTAGAGGATTTGGATTAAAATAAAAAATAAAAAATCCAACATTGCTAACTCAAGGAAAGAGTCTACATACGAGTTCAAATTTTTTGCTAACATTTTTAAGCTTGGCGTAGTCAGTAATTTTCAAAGGATGGGCTAGCTAATTTTTTATGGATGACTTGCTGGCTACTAGAATAAATTCAGATTTTTTTTGAGAAATTACAAAAAAGATAAAAACTTAGAACTAAGAATTAGAATCATGAGTGTTTTAGCTAGGGATTTACTTTATATAAAAAAATATTAATTGAGTTCGAAAATTACCATAGGTGCTTATAGGCCTACTCAAACAAATCTTAGCAATTCGTTTCGTTCAGTTTAAAAAAAATTCGTTTAATTAGTAATTTAAAATAAAAAATAAAACAAGACCGAATTGAATCAGAATACGATACGGGCCTGATTTGGCTTCTACTACAATAATCTACCTTAGTGCGTAACACCAGATCGCGCAAAACTCTTCGAACAAATAAGTCTCTCTCTCACTCTGAAACTCTCGCAGAAGCTCTTTCATTGTTGTTATGGCGCGGTGCTGGCGATCCAAACCGGTGATTCTCGTGCTTTTCATACAGCTCTGCTTTTCTCTTATCTATTCGTCGCTCGCAATTTCTCCCGGGTAAGATTTAAAAGTTCTTCTCTTTACCCAAACGATGCATCGACGATTTTGAAATTAATTTCTTTTATGTTTCTGCTCAAATGATTTGTTGCAGGTCTGCTGATGGGTACACCATCCATGGTCGAGTGAAGATCCACAGTATGTATTTCAAGTGAAATTAGCTTCTTGTTGATTGTTTTTAATGGAAAAGTTTCAATCTTGTATTCAGTTATGGTGAATTTTCCGTGTCAATCAATCGATAAACTACTTTAAATCGAGAATTTGAATGGAAAAGGAAGGTTTAAGCTGTGCAATACTTTAACTTTAATTGCTTTTTTGTGTTGGGATGTCTGGATACATGTCAAATCTGATTAGGGCTTGTGGAATAGGGCTGATTGTGTGGTTAAATTAATCAGTTTATGTGTGGACTTAAGGAGTTTTACCCTGATTTGATCAGTGAGAACTAGCTCAATGTTTTTTGGTGCTTTGCTCTAGGTGGGTTAGTCCGGATTACCCTCTACTTTTCAATCACTAATATTGATTCGAAACACTATTTTTTTAAGTCCAAGAAAAAAATTCTTTAATGGTTGCATTCTGCTATTTAGTTCATTCATCATGTCTCTCTCATCTATAATATAACCGCATAGCTCATGCCTGTTATTGACGAATTTGCTCCGCAGGTATGGGGGCGAAAGGGTATGGCCTTTACCAAAAAACATCAAATGTCAAAGTCATACTAAATGCTGGTCAAAGTGTTACCTTTCTGAGGCCTGATGGATTTTTTTCATTGTATCCTATTTCCGTTCTTATGATAAGTTCATTTCTGATACCATCTTTTGTGTCAGCCTTTATGTTTATGTATTGCATATACTATAGTATATCTTCATGAAATGAAATGCCAATTACTAGGCATACAATATTTCCTTAATGTGTTTGCTTAAAGCCATAATGTGCCTGCGGGGACTCATCTGATTGAAGTGACTGCAATAGGCTATTTCTTTTCTCCGGTGAGATTCTTGTATCTATAAATCAACTCTTTTATACTTTTTGAAATGAAATGGTCACAAATCTGATATTCCCATGCTTGTGTAGGTCCGAGTCGATGTTAGTGCCAGAAACCCGGGCAAGGTTCAGGCAGCGCTGACTGAAAATAGGAGGGGCCTAAATGAGTTTGTTTTAGAGCCATTGAGAGAGGAACAGTATTATGAGGTTGGTTTAGATTTTCACATTATTTTTTATACATTCACTATTTCTGTACCATTATGGATTTTTGACCTCATGTCATGTTAATCTCATTACAGATAAGGGAACCCTTCTCCATAATGTCTCTTGTAAAGAGCCCAATGGGTCTGATGGTTGGATTTATGGTAATTGTTGTGTTTTTGATGCCGAAGTTAGTGGAGAACATGGGTAAGTGATCTATGCTTTGTATATGTTTTAAATTGTTTGTCCATGGGGCCTGAGACTCTGGTTTACTTTAGATTTACTTGCATCGAAATGACTCATGGGGACGGCATCCTATTCTCTTTTTATACATACACTTTCTGTACCATATTTTTTTCTGACTTGGACATGTAAATTTTGAATTTTTACTCCTTAGTGTACACAAATTTATAAACACTTGGTTGTTACCATTGAATTGTTGTTTTTCATCTGTATGTGGATCACTTACGGTTTTATCACCTCCTATGGTGCATTTGTTCAAAAGAATCTCATTTGTGTTGATATTACACATGCCCTTCATACTCATGCCAGTCTTTTGACTAAATATGCTTATTGATCCCCGCATTGTCAGAGTTACTCAATCAATTATTTTATGTTAACAACAGATCCTGAAGAAATGAGGCGGACACAAGAAGAAATGAGAAACCAAGGGGTTCCATCACTAGCGAACTTGTTACCTGGTGCTGCGAGGAGTTAAAAACTGAAATGGAGAAGTATCAACCTCCTCTTCAGGTGGACTTCTGTTTTCCTGCTCAGGAGCTGAGAGATTGTGTATCATTATGGTTAAGAAAGATTACGAGATGCCAGGACTTCTCCCTCTCTCTCTCTTTATATATAAATTTTTGTTTTTATTTTTTGGCTTAGAGCCTGATGTTACAATGCTAGCAATGCTTTTTTTTTCTTTTTAAAGTTATGTAATGATAATGTAGTTTTACATTGATGTAAACATTTGGGGATTTAGGTGTCTATCATCTGATTGGGTTGTGATGCTGACAACCAGCCGGCCGAGATTAACAGTGTATCAGTTTTTGTTTGCTTATTTTTCGCAATCCAATGAAATAATTTTTCGCAGATGTCTAGTACGTTATCTTAATTCTGATTTATGATTGCATATTCAAACCATAATCAATGGTGACAAGAGAAAGAAAAAAAAAATCATTCTTCAACTTAAATTCCTTTCTCAAAAATCAACCATAAAAGGATATACGTTAGTAAGCTAAAAAAACATACAGAATTCTACATTTTTTTGCTTTAGTTTTTTACATGGTAGGTGTGAGCAAAAAATTGGTCGAGCCGTTCAAATCAAATTAATATGCTTGGTTTAGTTTGGTCGAGCCCTTTGTTAACGAGCCCTTTGTTAACAAGAATTTGTAGCTCAAGTGATTAAGAACCTAATCAAACTAAGCCCTTTGTTAACAAGAATTTGTAGCTCAAGTGATTAAGAACCTAATCAAACTAAACCCTAATTAATTTGATATAGTTCGGTCTCGCCTAGGAAACCAGCAAACATATTCAAATCCATAAAATATGGAGACCCAATATTCACACAAAACCAGGACCTTTAACTAGTTGGGCCTAGAAAGTAAACGCTCCATTTAATCTCTCTCTCTCTCTCTCTCTGAAAATTCAAAGTTTTTGTTTTGGTCTTCAATTAGTATCTGGATTTCAGATTCCTTACCATTTTCAGCTTCATCTAATATGTTAGTTTCATAATTTCGGTCTGAATCAGGCACTAAATTGCATCTACAAATTTCGTGTCCTCTATTGCACTGCTCTTTCTCTCTACACTGCTTCAGAATTGAGATGGAAGGCTTACCCACAACGACGAAATCAGAGAGGCGATGGAGATCGAAGCCTCTTCAGACGTCCAAGCCATCTATCCTAATGGCCTTCTTCTCTTGCGTCGCTTGGCTCTACGTCGCTGGCCGGTGCGTTCTTAATTGCCTACGAAATGTTTCAAAAATGAACTTTCAGCTTTAATTTTTAATCCAATGCCATGGTTAATTTGAAACGTAGAGTTTCAATTTCTCAGCTTTCTGTTTGATCTGATGCAATTTGTTGATTTGATAGCATTTTAAGAATGCATGGTTATTATAAAGTTGATGACTTGTTATTTGGGACATCCAGGTTGTGGCAAGATGCAGAGAACAGAACAGTACTCGCTAATCTTCTTAAGAAGAACTTAGGCCAGGTTCCATTCAAACCTTTTTATTTGAGACTTTAATTTATCTATTTTTGTACCATTAGACCTAGGAAGACATTGATTCAGCTCAGTTAGCAATTTCTAGGTAAGAAAAGAATGTGCAAGACTCAAATTTCTTGTTCAATTTCCTTTTTCTAAGTTAACCCAACAACCAAAATGACATATGGTGACAATTTATGATGCCTGTTTGAATTCAATTTCACTTTAGTGATGTTTCTGTCCATCTGTCAGAGACCAAAGGTTCTTTCAGTTGAAGACAAGTTAGCGGTCCTTGGATGCAAGTATGCTCCTACTTTTTGTTTCCCTCGAATCAGATTACTTGAGTTGTGCCTTGTATTAGTTTTGTATTAATGGTAGTGTTGTTCAGAGACCTGGAGAGGAGGATTGTGGAAGCTGAGATGGACTTGACGTTGGCCAAGAGTCAAGGGTACCTCAAGAATCACTTGCAACAAAAGGTGTCTTCTTCTGGCCAATTGCTCGCTGTTATTGGAGTTTATACTGGATTTGGTAGTCATTTGAACCGAAATATGTTTAGAGGGTCTTGGATGCCTAAAGGTCAGTTGGGATTTCTGATGGAAACGTATGCAGATTTACAATGTGTGCATGGCTTGAATTCAGATGAATTGTTGATCGGTCTTAATACTTACACTCAACGTATGCAGGTGATGCTTTGAGAAAACTAGAAGAAAGAGGAGTAGTCATACGCTTTGTAATTGGTCGGAGGTTTTTTCTCGCACCTTAATCCCAATATTAGTACTAGTGTAACTGTTTTAACTGTGGTAGTTACTATGGAGAAACTCTTCTCATAATTTTTTCGCTTTGAACTTGCAGTCCCAATCAGGGTGATAGCTTAGATCGCAATATTGATAAGGAAAGTCGGTCGACAAAGGATTTCTTGATTCTTGTAAGCAATAAAATCTCAGTGTTATTAAAATACATCTGGTTCAATATTTTACCCCAGGCTTTACAAGTATTATGGTCGTTAAAAAACTGTAATATAATGATATGTTACTCATAAAACAATTTAAAAATCTTCGGAATTTTTTATAGCTAAAATATATTTCAAAATTCTGAATTTTTTTATGCATAATCGAAGTGATAGATATTTGATGATTTGGCTTTTATTGTATTATCTTCATAATTTGTAATAAACCAAAATTTCAGCATTTTTGTAGTTGCAGGTTACCTCTTATATATAGATAAATTAAGATTTTATGATTGCCGAAAATATAGAGTTTGAATATGTACTATTATTATATCAGGAAGGTCATGAGGAGGCTCAAGAAGAGTTGACCAAAAAAGTAAAGTTCTTCTTCAGTACTGCAGTTCAAAATTGGGATGCTGAGTTTTATGTCAAAGTCGATGATAATATCAATCTTGATCTTGGTAGAGCTTCGCTTCCTATAAATTTGTGAGAGCATTCAAGACTAAATTTTATTAGAAAATTTTTGTACATCATTTACAACTGTTTTTCCTGACCTAACAGAGGGGCTAATTGGACTTCTTGAACATCGTCGTGCTCAAGATGGTGCTTATATCGGTTGCATGAAGTCAGGAGATGTGATTTCTGAAGAGTATGTACTTTACTATCCTACACCTCTGTGCAATTTGATCGTACGTTTCCAATTTTATTTGCAGAGCTTGAGGCTGATAGGGTTACTATGATGCAGCTTTTGACTTTGAAAATGTTTCAATTTGCAGGGGAAAGGCTTGGTATGAGCCTGACTGGTGGAAATTTGGGGATCAGAAATCGTAAGTGATTGAATCTACTGAATAAAACAGCATCTAATGGGCATTGCATGCTGTATACTGTGTTGATAACTTGATACAGACTCTGCGAACACACACAATCCCACTCTAGTAAAGAGTTTAAATAGGGAGGTCATTTGAGTTTTTAATCATGGTCATAGAAAGAATCTGATGGCCAAAGATTTGCTACTTACTAGGGCCTTTTGTATGTGCGTGTGTGTGTTTTGTATGTAATGCATGTTCCGAGATACTGTTTTTTCTATATATTTTATAGAGTCATGTCATGTCTGGACTGGTCTAGTTGCTAATATTTTCAGATTTGGTTATCATTTCCACAAATTTTTTTTCCCTTCCAGGTATTTCCGTCATGCAGGCAGTTCACTCATAATACTATCCAAGAACTTAGCTCAGTATATAAACATAAACAGGTTTGTTGTGAATGTTATAAACAGATTTTCCTTTGGATATAAATGTCGTTATAAGCTATCAAGCTATGAGAATGAATTTGTTAGACTTATTTATGCATTTCATTATCCTGTTAATAAATCACGGTCTCATTTCTGTTTACTTTCATATGCAGTGCGTCTTTGAAGACTTATGCTCATGATGATGTATCAGTGGGTTCATGGATGATGGGTATCCAAGCCACGTATATAGATGACAACCGCCTTTGTTGTGGTAGCATTAGACAAGGTAAATTTACTCCATGCTTTGTGTTGTTTTTATCAAAAAATAAAAACCTCCCACGTCTTTGCTCACTGAAGTTACCTCATTTTCGTAAATTGGATTACGGGAAAATAAAAAAATGTACAGATGTTTTCGGGTCTTCTAGCTTGAAAGAAAATACTAAAATAGAAAGCAAAGACACTTTACATTGATTTAAACCCCACTCCCCAAAGAAAAAATATTTATGAAAAAAGAAAAGAATTCCCTTAAGGTTTAGGTCATTTGGTTATGTTTGACTTGATGGATGCAACTTGTGTTGACAATTTCCATTTAACCCTTCCAATTTTCCAGACAAGGTGTGTTCTTTGACTTGATCAAGGGGATATAATCTTTTGTTCAAAGAGAAATTATTCTGGTCATGCAAGTTTTGCGCGAGCATCAAAACAATGTTCAGAGCATGATGGCCATATCCATGCTCCACTAAGGTGCTGTGAAGGTTGCAAAGGATTTGCAACATCATTCTTTTATACGTGAAGATCGGCTAGAAGTTTCTTTTCATTTTTAGTCAAGTGTTAACGGATTGACTTGACCGCCCACTGCATTGGGTGATAGCTTGGATACTTTGGATGAATTGGATATGTTATTTGTTTTACATAGTCAATAATATTAAAGCTTCTCCCTTCTCCCTTCTATTTACGTGCAGCCGTTGCTCGTGTTAAAAGAGAGGGCATTACTGTTGGGCTGATTGGTCTTGTAGCTCCTCTATTTACTGTATTCAGATTCCCAAAATTGTATTTACAGACATCTAAAGTTTCACAACATTGATTTCAAACGCATCAGCAGATGAGGAAATATGTAAACTGAGTTGATAAAGCCGAAAACCATTCATTGACAAGCTAAAAAATTAGGGAACCAGACATGGCCGCCAAAACTTCATCAATGGTCAATCAAATTTCTTCTCATAGTTATCAAACCTGAACTTGAATTTACTTTTTTCTATCATTACATTTGGAAACCCAAGACCTATTTTTAAGAATCGCTTAAGGAAAGAAAATTGTAAGTACCCTAATCCTATATGGTATGATACTGGAAAATTGTAACAATGCTGATAGCATGAGCCATTTAAGTTATTGAAAGCTGCTGCTCTTGAATTGCAAGAGGTACGGCTGGTCTCCATGTTGTCCCATCTGGGCTGTCCATTAGAGCAATCCCCACAGCAGCTAAGTCTTTCCTGATTATATCTGATCTTTCATACTCCTTGTTCTTCCTTGCTGCAGTTCTTTCATCAATTTTTTGCAATACTTGATCTTCTGTTAACTTTGCACGCTTCAAGGCCTTATCCCTCAGCTGCTGCAGAATCTGCAGCATAAATAAGTTTTTATCTCCTATAATAAACCTTATTGAACAGGAAAAATAATTGAATAAAGGGTTGTCAGATTTCAGTGTCCATGACGCTTATTGGGATTGATTCTTTTTTTATCATGTAAGGTTCCCATACTTTTCGGAAAAGGGGTCAACTTTTGTCCAGGAATCAAAGTATATTATACAAATATATGAATATGTAGTCACTTTTATGGTAAATTTCTAGTAAAATGCTATAAAAAAAAGTGTCATAAACTCATAATGAAATGAGTAGTAGTATCGACACAACTTCCATACCTCAAAGTAACTTTCAGGCATCAATCCTAAAGTGCTCAAAACATTCCCAAGTATCTTCCCAAAAGCTGCAAGCGACTCTATCCGCAATTCTTGCTTCTTCCCCTGTGTAAATTTATAAAGTACAAGACAATACAGAGCTCAAGAAATTTGGAGAAACAAAAAGAAAACCAGAGTACTTATATCATTAGTGAGAAAGACGATCATGTTTATACAGCTGGGAGAAGAACCAGAGAGTCAGAATTCTCAAACTACTATTACCATGTTAGCAACTTTTTTGTTTTTTTGGTTCCTAGATTCAACACTTTTTCTCGGTAAAGGTTGAACACATTGATTTACAAATTTCTGTTTATTCTAACTCAAGAGATGCTTGGGTTCAATAACCTTTGAATCCTTATTTGATATGTAAACAAAACTAATCCTAAACGTATTTGTACTGCAAACCAAAATCTACATCACATCCTAAACATAAAGAGTTTCTAAAATGCTGTATGCCACGTTCAGTTAATTATAATCATATTAAACTTAATGAGTATGACCCAATACCTTACGAGTATGTAGCAGATCATTAATAGTTTTTAATGGGTCTGATAGTGCAGCCAAAACAACAGGTGTGTGAAGATCATCTGACATTGATGTTAGAAAAACATTATAGAAGTTATTGATGCTGTTCACTGTATCAGGTGGGATGGTATCTTTCAGGGTAACCACATCATGCTGGCTTAGCGCACTTTCACAATCATGTAACGTCTGCAACAAGAATAAATTTGATCAAAAAAGCAAAATGGAATCAATATATGAATAGATAATAAGACATCTCTAGATCCGGGAAAAAAACCTCAAGTATATAAACAATTTAAAAAGTTCTCAACATTTTTTAAATCCTACTGGCATCTAAAACAAAATATTCACATATATAAAACTACATCTTCCATCAATGACCCAAAGCAGACAGATTTACCCGAACCCCGGCAGATTAGACTAGACAAAAATTAACAAATGTGATCCACAAAGTTCAGGTGTTTCTCCAGCTAAAAAGAACACACACAAGTTCAGGTATTTCACTCAGCATTTTGCATATGTGATGTCTTTACATTCATGTGTCTGTGTGGTGTTGGCTGGGAGGAAGGAAGGGAGAGACAGGAGAAACAGGCTTCTTCCATCTGCAGAGAAGTAGGATACTATGGTACCTGATAAATGTAGAAAATCCGATCTGAAGCACTTTCAAGCTGCACATCAGAGTAGTTGATTGGAGACTGATAGTGGGTCCCTAACAAGAAAAGTCGCAAAGCGAGGGGATGGTAAAGGTCTATAACCTGCAAGATCCAACATTTACAACAAAAGGAAAAGTCAGATAAGACTTCGATTCTTAAAGCTCACTGACCCATGACAAAGGCATGTGCCAAAAAATGAAAAAGAACGAAAAAAAAAATGTGACCACTTTAAGCAGAATGGAAGCCTTTTACCTGCCGAATTGTGAAAAAGTTTCCAAGGGATTTGGACATTTTCTCTGAGTCAACAGTGACAAAACCATTGTGTATCCAGTAGCTTATATTACTGTGGTTACACACAGCACAACTCTGAGCAATTTCATTCTCGTGGTGGGGAAACACAAGGTCCATCCCTCCACCATGTATGTCAAAAGAGTAACCCAGATAAGCAGCACTCATAGCACTGCACTCAATATGCCATCCAGGTCTACCAGGACCCCATGGACTGTCCCAGAAGGGTTCTCCTTCCTTTGCAGTCTGTAAACATTAAAACATTACCATAAAATCAACATCCCACCCAACCGTGTTATACAACATGTTGCATATGTCATTGTGTATGCATGTAAACAAACAAGTTAGAATGCTTTATAGTAAGAACATGAATCAGCTAAGAGCCAGACAGCTTTATCGATGAAAATACAATGTCAAATTTGCCATCATTTTTCTGATACTTATTACAGACACTACCTTCCATAGGGCAAAATCAGCAGGATGTTTCTTCCTTGAATCAACAGCAACCCGCTCACCAGCTCGATTATCTTCTAATTTTCGCCCAGATAGACGTCCATAATCTGGGAACTTTTCGACACTGAAGTACACATCCCCATCAACGATGTAGGCATATCCATTTTCAATAATCTGCCCAGGGAGCACATCAAGAAATGGGTGTGAGAGAGAGTTAAATGTAAATCATGAGAACAGAAGCATTTGTGATGTGTCTAATAAATATGCATCATAACATAAACAGTTGTACTTCTATGATCTCCAAACTTGGCAAACTATCCAGTTCAATCCTATAAGACTGCATACTCTTTGTGCCAGGACACAAGGTGCTAAAAGCCTAAACGTGATACTTTCAATAGATTTTGAAATACGGGTGGAAAAGAGTACCTGCTTTATCATATCAAGGATCTGTGGCATATGATCGGACACTCGTGGTTCCACAGAAGGAGGCAGGCAATGAAGATAGACCATATCTCGATTGAACTCCTCGCAGTATCGTCTGCTCAAACTGATTGGATCCTCCCCCAACTCCTTTGCTCTAGCAATTATCTACAGAATTTGAAAAGTGCAGACTCAGGTATCCTGTCATGCCAATGTGGAAAGTAATGGGTACTTGGCATCCAACTTTTGTAACACAAATTCATCAAGCTGTATCAATACACTTAAGAACTACCAACCAAACTTAGAAATAATCCAGGAATACAATAAACAACAGAACATGATGCATAAAACTACTGATAACCCTAGCAGCAGGGAAATTCAGTTGTACAATGTGAAAGAATAAATCCCATGAAACACAACAAAGATATCATTTAAAAGAAAAAAGAAAACCCATCACCCAAGTCTGAAGCTTGAAAACTGGAAACAGTTCAACAAAGCAAAGAAACTTACTTTGTCATCAACATCTGTGAAGTTCCGAACATAAGTGACTTGATATCCCAAATGCCTAAGATATCTGCCTATTTCTCAAAACGAGTCTCAAATCAGCATTAACAAAAACCCAAATGAAGAAAACACACAAATACAAGAGAGATGGACCTGTACAGAACATCGAAGGTAACATAGACCCGAGCATGGCCGATATGGCTGAGGTCATAGGCTGTTACTCCACAAACATACATGCCCACCTTCCCTTCAGTTTTGGGTCTGAACACCTCCTTCTTCCTGCTGATTGTGTTCTGCAGCCACAGCTCCGAAAATTCTGGACTCTCCCATTTACCACCTACCCCAATCGACGGCTGAGAGTGGCTTGAAGTACTCACGCAACGAATTCTCCTTTTGGGCTTGAACAAGCTATGAAAACGGTGAGTTCCGAGTTGAACCGTCCGAGTGGAGTAGGGGATCGAGAACAAGGGTCTGTAGAACTTGAGCAGAGTGCTCATCTTGCTCTCTCTGTCACTGAACGTTTTCTGCGATAGACTCTGTTAGCGCTTTATCTACAAATAAATAAGCGGGCCATTTTGTTTGGGCTTTCCAAGGCTTTGCCTCCATTTCATAAATATTTTATTTTATTTTCTCATATATTCTACCAAATCCAAACTTTATACAAGTTATATCACATCTCTCCATTTTTTTTACTTAAAATAGTTAACACTCGGTTATATTTTTCTGCCTCCTTTTGTTTTTAAAAAATGTATATCACTCGGTTTTATTTATTATTAGGCTTTCACTCTAAAAGTTAAACTTTGGTTTACATAATTACATGGACAACTGTCAGCCGTTGATGCATGTGTGACCCACAGATCGACAATTGATAGTTGCACACACAAAAGTGATGACTTGGGAATTTGTCATTATTTGAATCATCGTGCCAATATAACCGTCTCCCGGTATCTTGTGGATCAAACTTGAGACTTACAACAAACTTTTTAAGACCTTTTTAGTACTCATAGATTGATGAAAGTGATGAGAAAGTAACATCTTGATATAAGAAATTCATGCATTTCACCCGTTAAGAAGGAGGCCTTATTGTTGCCTGGTATGCAATTTTGGCTTTCCAAACTCTAACTCTAATGTGCTTGCCTCTTCTGAATTTTCAATTTTTCATTTTATTTCTCTTTCGATCTTTAGGATAAGATAAGAAGGTTGACAAGCCTTTGATATGAACCCCAAATCCCACCAACTATACAATAAAACCCTACTTACAAGCCGGCACAATTATGCTGGGAATGTGAACAAATACAATAGAGAAAGGTGCCACGGTTGTGGGATCTGATGACCCTACTGTTATTGGTTCCAAGGCTGGGATGTTCCCAGATGAATCTACACTTAGTGCTTTCCCATTTAGAAGCATTACTTTGCTGTGCAAGTCCCCATCTTTAGCTGTTAGGTGGTATTCCTCTCTTACATTCTGGCTACCTTTGGAACCCCGCAGGCCTTGAAAATTCAGATAACTGAGCCTGCCAGGACTTTCAGTCGAAACTCGGACTTGAACTTTAGTGTTACTGTCTAGGTTGATGAGGAGCACTGTGATTCCCTGCTGCATGAATTAATCATGAAATTAAGCTTAATGGATTAGCTAATTAAGCATAATCTTTTTATTACTTCATGTGAAATTTTTTCCATTTTTTACTTACCGTCTTCTTTGAACAATGAGCATAAGCACGTAGTTTCTTTGTCCCAGGGAAGCTTGTAGACAAGACCTTATTTCCCATCAAACGATGCCAAAGAAGAGCACTGTAAAAAACACATACATTTGTCACATGGGTTTGGTTTCTTTCTTTGAAAGAGAGATCATTAGGAGTGTTCTTGGTCTTCATGATCTATATGTACTAACCTGTAGTAATCCGGATTCGGTACGAAGGTGTTAGTGTCAAGGAGGCCATAATTGCCACCAATCAATGTTTGTCTGCAATATGTTTTGGTATCATAAGATGCTGACATTCCAAGCTGGTCCAGGTACCTGTTTGGTTAGTGGGAAAAATGCACAACCTCTGTTGATCAAAATGTTTAGATAGAAGAAGTAGAAGAAGAAAACAATTGGGATGGCAAGCTTAATTACCAGAAGCTAAACACAAATGCATTTGTTACAAGATTATGGCCACTGTTGTAAGCACCTCCTGATTCACCAACCCATGCCACTGCTGGTGTGTTTGATTTCTCAAGAAGGCTTTGTAGGCTTTTGAAGGTCTGGGAAATACCATCAAGAACAGATGGGTCTAGAATCTTTTGAATAAGATCTCCAGAACTACCTTTAATTAATATGAGCAAGGAAAAAAGGCAAGTGTTATTCAAATGAAATGAAATTGCTTAAAAACATTTGAACCAAGAACAAGGTAATTGGCTTCAGAGTTAATTTACCTGGACCAAGGTTGTATATGTGGTGGGTGACTACTTGAAGAGATTGAGGTGTTTTATGAATAAACTCTGTGAACCAATTTTCATCAAAGAACCCTCCTGGTGCCAAGACTTGTGGCTTAGCTTCAAAACCTGCATAAACATTTTGCACTATGCTTTGGAGAGATTTTGTGTCAGATGCATATTGGCCTGCAGCAACTCTTGTTCCAACTCCATTCCCACTCAGTTCATTTCCTGATCATAAGCAGCCAGCTCTACTTTGTTAACTTAATTTCCAAGCATGGCTTATATTCTCATGTGTTCAAGTTCTTACCAAGCTCCCAACCATGGATTCTGTATCCCCTTTTGACTGTATATCTTATTAGGGACTCAGCATTGCTTGAGTTCCAAGCACCCACAGCAGCTCCTTGGGAGTTTATTGTCCTGCCTCTCAGTGCATTCAAACCAAATATCACAACAGCCCTGTTTTAGAAGCAAATTATCATGACGGTTTACGGGAAAACATTCTCTTGTCAGATTGTCTAGCGGAATAAGCATTTTTTTGGCAACATGAGTCCGTAAGAGAACATTGCCCACGGTTTATATATAATACGTTCATCAGGGCATATAATAAGTGGAATATTTACCCAGTTTTGTTGAAGAAAATATTTAGTTGGTCCCATCTAGACATTGGTAAGTAACCTTGAGTGAAACCAAACAACTCTGAACCATCTTTGAGAAATGAGGTAGAGGGTTGTTGGCTTTCTTCTGTCTGGTATATGACTTTGTCTTGCAAGGTGCCGCCCAGCCTAATTTTCAAGGGTGAAAATGCTGCAATAAAATAAAGTGGAGAGCTTTGCTAAGACAGTTACGGATTATGTATAGTCGTTTGTGTGTGTGTGGTTGTTATGAGTTCCAGAAAATGACTCCTTTACCTTTTATAGCATTCAGAAGTATGGAATTGTCAAGATCCTACCAAAAACCAAAGAAAAAAACAAGGAAATACTATTAGAATAAACAAATAATATACTTCTGAAATTAGAAAAAGATGCATGTAGATAAGCATCATCTTGATTAAAAGTTTTAATTCCATGTTGAGAATAGAATCTTTGGAATATTTCAATAATCAATAATACTAGTCGACAAGGAAAAAGCTTGGCTCCTTAAGATTGAGGAGGAGTTCCTCCTTACGGCCGATGTGGTTTTGACACATGTTAAATAATTTTAATATTCTTTTTACTTTTTTGTTGAAACTTTGTCAAAGTTGCTGAAATTCAACAAGCATCAAAATTCGATTGGTTTTAAGGAGGAGCTCCTCAATCTTAAAGGAGCCAAGTCATGCTCTTGACAAAATGATAACCAAAATGCTATCTTTTTCTTTGTCAATGGAACAGCTGCTATCTACATGCTCTTCAGCTTACAGGGTCAAACTGAAAAGGGCGATTTACAAGAGTTGGGTGGTTTGACACTTCAAGGGAAAGGTTTAACAACAACATCAAATCAAGCTATGGATTGAAATAAAAACTCCCCTTAACATAAATTTAGTTGTGCAATAATATGAAGATTAGGAGATTAAACCCAACAACAAAAAAGAGAAAAAAGCAAAATGAGACCTCTATTGGATTGAATATGCCTTGATGATATTTTGAGAAGAAAAAAAAAATGTTGGGGAAGCTGCTGGCTTACAAGATTAAGAAGAGAAGCAGAGCCCCAGCTACAAGTTCCATAGTCACATTTCTGAGGAGGCCACCAATCAATTGTGGCACAGACAAAGTCATCATCCATAAAACCAATAGCAGCTGTTCCATTGACAAAAAGGGTTCCTTCAGTGCTCTGTGAAGCCACAGAGATTGATGACTTATGGCTGTGAGTTGCCATGTACACCCAATAGCAAAGCAATGATATAATCACCAGAGAACGCATTATTTCACACATGCAACCAAGAAAAAAAAATTAACAAAAAAATCCTGTGCTCTCTCTGTGTCCCTGTATTGGTTTGTGATGAGGAGGCCTTGCAAGTTCTGCAGGCTTGGTTTTAATGGTGGGATTGGATTGGCATTGGTTGTAAATTTGTAAAGTTGGTAGAGACAGAGTGGATAGGTACTATAAAGGATGGGAAGATGCTACTGGGGAAGCTTGTGAGTGAGTGAGGCACTCATTTTCGCTTTCAATAAAGTCACACTTTAGTTAGTCCATGAAGCATAAAAGATAAAAGAAAAAACAACTAAACAAAACTCAAGGTATTAAATATTTATTTTGGCGAAGATATCAAGAGAGTCTGAAAATACAGAAATATTTGAAAAGTTTGAGTAAATTGTGTTTAAAGAAAAGTATCAAGGAAATTTCGTTGAACCAAAAAACAAAGAAAATACAATTTGGAAGATATTGGAAGCATCACGTCATCACCAAACCCACTAAAGGTAGGAGAAATTTTTGTGTGGTAAAAACCAGCAACAACAGCAAGGGTCTCTTTCTAGTCGCTTTTGACGTCTCTTATATAAAAACCAATAAATTAAGCAACAATGCCGACGGGATGTAGCCCAGTGAAAGTGGATCTTAACTTGCAAACAAGTGATTTCAAGTTCGAATCTTATAGTACTTTAATAGTGTGGGTAAAAACTGTCCTCTTCCTTCCTAACTTGGGCAAAAATATAAAACAATTATGCAACAATTTTTCCCAGCCATTTCATCTGAATATTCAATAGCTCTAATTACAAGCTACTTTCATAATCAATTATGAGATGCTTTTCTATTTGAGATCGAATAGGCAACCAAGGCAGGTGAATCTCTATTGCGTTTGGTAGTCTTCAGGGGAGGTAGGTCCTCCCTCCTCCAATCTTTTAGGTACAACCTGGGTAACCCTTCATTTGGTCAAAGGCTCTAACAATGATAGGAGTTTGTTATTGATGGATGGGTAATCAGTCAGTTATTAAACAAAGGTCCCATCTAAATGAACCCCTTTCTAAATGGTAGGACCTAACGCCCGACGAAAATGAAAGGTAATTAATTTGAGTTTGGGATAGGGTTAAGTTTCAGGGTTGGTTTGGGATCCATTGTCTACGACGGGCCTAAAAGTCTGAGGTCTATGTTTTTAGGCCCAGATTGG